GGTCATGATCCTGGAGTCCCAGGATCGAGTCCCACATCGGGCTCCCTGCTCAGCGGGGAGTCTGCTTCTCCCTCTGACCCTCTTCCCTCTCGTGCTCTCTGTCTCTCGCTCTCTCTCTCTCAAATAAATAAATAAAATCTTAAAAAAAAAAAAACTATTCTCTGAATCCTCTCTTGATTTATGCTCCCATCTCCGCGGTGGCTCTATCAGGGATGGTAAATTGACAGGTTCTCTCTTGGTTTAAAAAAAAAAAAAAATCAACTGAGTGAATCCTGAGATCTAACTGGCTTTATTCGACAATTCATGAATTGAGCAGCATTCCATCCAGCAAAGAGAAGGAGATCCTTAGAGCTGCAGAAAGAATGTTTTTAAAAGCAGGAAGGGGTGGAAAAAGAAAATTATTAGCAAAGAATGCATTGCTTCTGGGTAAGGTTGCCTTCCTGAGTGGAAAGGAAAGCCTTGCCAGATGGATTACTGACCTACTGATGACCAAGTCATTCCAGGGTGACTAGTTAAAGGTTATATTACTGGGGTGTTGAAACTGCAGTTAGGTTAGGTATTAAGCCTTAGTTGGCTAATGTGGGGTTTTAGTACACATCACTCCATTGGGGGCCTATTTCCTTTTTAACACTCGTAACAACACACTGGGGGGGAAAAAGTGATAATAACTTTTAAGGCCTTTCGTGTGACTCCCTGAAAAGTTAAAACACCTTCAATTTTACTTGAGTGCAAGAGCATTGTATTTTTAGACAGTTTGTAAGGTGAGTTTGTTTTAAGCAAAAGAGTAGAATGAATAATGGACATTTAGGTTCCAACAACAAATTGTTCTCAATCACCAATAGATACTATTCGAAAAACCAAGTAAAAGAATCCTATCTCAATACCTAATTCAGGTAAATAAAACTCTTCCTGAAACTGTATTCAGATTCAGTCTCATGGCGATGATCTTTGACACTGTCATATATTTTTGAGTACATTCTGTGCATCTAACGGTAATTACTTAGGTAACAAAAACATAGTCCCTGCCCTTGAAGGGCTAATATTTTAGTGAAGGATCGAGAAATAGAATGTGATGTAAATAAATTTTGTTTTGTAAGAAAACAAAGGGCTGTGGAAATCCAAAGCACAGAGTGCTCTAGGCTCCCTTCTAATTCCACCACTCGATAGCTCTAAAATCTTGGGCAAGTTTCTTAACCTTTCTGAGTCTCAGTTGCCCCATCTTTAAAATGAGAGGAGGGAATAATACTGCCTACCTTGCAGGGATTTTCTTTCAAGTAGTATATATATTGTAGAAGGCAGAAGTTAAGCATTTTATTTGTTGTGATTTTCTTAATTCTCCCAACTATCCTGAAGAGATTGATCCCGCATTTGTTCCCTTTTACAAATGAAAGGTTAAATAAATCACCAAAATTCTAACAGCTCCAAGTGGTAGAGCCCTGGTGAAACTGAGGTCTACTGAACTCGTTGGAGGGATTTTTGATTAAATAAGAGAATGAGTGGAAAAAATTACTAGCATATGGGAAGGCCCCAAAATATTAGCTATCTTTATTATCATCACCATAATCATCATTTTGTTTATATATATATATTGTTTTTAAATACGTAGAGGCTGTTGTCATTAAAACAACTCAAATGATTCAAAATCATTACTTAATATGGTCATTATGCTTTTTAAATTCATGGTCTCTAAAAAATGTCAATACTATTATATCTGTTTAGTGGGAGGAGGAGCCTGAGGAATTTTTATATTAAAAAGAGATCCTCAAACTCAAATATGAGAATACTGATCTTAGCAGAGAACAAGGGAAAGAAAAAACCTGAAAAACTATAAAATTATTTCAGATCCCCCAAACCTTAACATCTAACTCAGAAAATAAACCTTAAGCGAACGAATCCATTTAGTATCAGTAGTGTATGAATATGGCAAATAAATGATACCGACAGTAAGTGCTCTGGGAATTCAGAGAAAGAATATTAATATATTGCCTCAGAAATAATGATGGCACAGTTTCTGTGCAGAACGGAATTAGGGGCAACAGTCTAGTGGAAATGTAGATGGGGAATGAGGGGTCTCTCAGAGATACATGTTGAAATTACCTCTGTTTCCCATATTTAAGAACTTAATACACGTATTAAACATAGGAGAGGAGGCCCAAATGGAAAGAAGCACGCTTAAAACACATAGTACATCCAGAATTAGTAATGGATAATGCAAAAACCAGATGGGGTGAAGTGGAGGATTCGTACGGGATGGGGAGCGGAGAGGCAAGAGAAGAAAGCAGGAGTGATGAACACGTTTCTATGTGTTTTGTACAAACTGTAGAAAATCTTAAATGTTGATCCTGAAGAGATTGGGCTTTGTTCTGTGGATAGTGTAAAATCACACTGGGTCTTTAGAAGAAGCAACGAGGGGCACCCGGGTGGCTCAGTCATTAAGCATCTGCCTTCGGCTCAGGTCATGATCCCGGGGTCCTGGGATCGAGCCCTGCATCGGGCTCCCTGCTCGGCGGGAAGCCTGCTTCTCCCTCTCCCACTCCCCCTGCTTGTGTTCCCTCTCTCGCTGTGTCTCTTTCTGTTAAATAAATCTTTAATAGAAGAAGCAGTGATATAATGAGGTAGTTATTTTAAGACTTTAATCTAGTGGCAATGTTTAGAACAAGCTAGGGAGAGCGGGAGATGAGAACAGGTGGTAACTGGCATGAAGTAATTAAGGCCTGGCCTAAGGTAGTAGCAGAATGAATCAAGTCAAGGAGTTGGATTCTGATTGGTTGTCATGCTGCGTAAAATAGCATTTTTATATTTAAGATGACACTGACCAGGGGGTGCTTACAGTAGAACATTTTGTGCTGTATTATTTATTTCTTTAATGTGTTCTGTGTTCTTTCTCCACAGGATTTAAGTAAAGTGAGAGCAGAAACCCTGCCTTTTGTAGTTCTTTATTATCACAAATGCCTCGCAGAGTTCATTTACTGTATTTTGATATTCACGAATTTGGTCTTTGAATAAACAGTTCTTTGCAGTACCCAGTTTTAACCTGAAGGCGGTGATAGAACTTAAAGGAAAAATCTTCAGTGACCACTATACTATTATAACTGAATTTTATGATTGTTTTTATATGTGATTTTTATACACCCAAGAGAAAATTTGACATTTGTGTAAATTATAAAACACAGTAATAAAAGAAACACTCAATAACCCACCATCTAAGCTAAAACATAGAATATAATCAATCTATTTAAGGACACCTCGTGCTTTTCTCCAAGCTCATTCCCTTTTGCAAATATAAATACTATCCTGTATGATCTTGGTGCTATCATTCTTTCATTTTTCTCATATAGCTATATGTGTATATATCCCAAAATAATGTATTGTTTGGTTTCACTTGTTTTCAAGCTTTATATAAATGGCATCATACTGAATATATTCTTGCTTTTTCATTCAGCATTGTTTCTGAGATTGATCCATGTTGATGGGTATAAACACAAAGTCTTAAAGGCAGAATGTAAAATTAATTTTGGAATATTTCGAGAGTTGAATATAAATGATATTATCTTTATTCGTCGTATTAGCTTTGTGAGTAACTGATGGAGGAAGCAACTGATTATATAAACAAGGGATCAGTTGAAGAACTCTGACCTAGTTCTTACATTTTTTTGGTTAAATTTAAACACTTCACTTCTCTTCCTTCTTCATCTAGCCCAGAGTTTCTCAATCATGGTATGATTGACATTTTGGGCTGGATGATTCTTTGTTGTAGGGGGCTGTCCTGTGTGTTACAACATATTTATCTGCATGCCTGACCTCCTCCCAATAGATGCCAGTAACACCCTGCCTCCCGAGTTGTGACAACCAAAGTTGCCTTCTGACATTGCCAAATACCACCCACGCAAGGAGGGTAGGGTCGGGGGTGAGGGCAAAATCACTCCTGAGAAACGCTGATCTAATCTTTGCATTGGGAAAATCATGTTACTGTGGATTTTTCTTATGTGCCTCTTTTGCTCAAAAACCTAAACTTTTGAATAATCAAATCCATTACTACATATAATTATAGCAACGAATTATATCAAATCTACATACATACGTAATGTTTCAAGGCTCTTCCTATCTTCTTGCATTTTCCCCATATCTAATTACCTTGACACCTCTCATTACTGCCTAATGCAGAATTTGTATGACTAGATTCCAAACACCTAATTGCTGCTCTCTAGACATACAATGTTAATGTTTATACCATTCTGAACTGTCCTTTCCTCCATAACCAGTTTGTGTCCTTTTCTTTTACAAATCACTCATTCAATAAATGTACCCTTGTGGTTCTGACAATTCTAACCGTATTTGCATTTCATCAGTCTTAACATGGCTCAGCTCCTTTAATTGCAATACACTATTTCTTATATATGCTTCTGTATATATTCTTGGGGTCTATATATTTTTACCCCACTTTCTCTATTCATCATAAGCCAGACCAGAGCTACAATAGTGTAGTCCTGTGTGGAATGCTTGCTTCCCAGGACAGCACATTAGAGGGGCTTAAATAAAGGGATATTATAAAAAACTACAAAGAAAATCATCTATACTTTACTTCCTAGCCTCCCATCACCCCTACATTATATGATATTTAAAGTATTAAATATACACCAATTAGGTTAATTAAGTAGAGACATCAGGCAATTAGGTAAGAGAGTTCCCAAAATATGAAAATATAGACCAAAGACCAAAATACAGATTTTGTTTTCTAATTTATATGAAAAATATTAGAAAAGTATGAAAATTAGGGGCGTCTGGGTGGCTCAGTCGGTTAAGCCTCTCACTCTTGGTTTCAGCTCAGGTCATGATCTCAGGGTCCTGGGATCGAGCCCCATGTTGGGCTCCATGCTAAGTGGGGAATCTGCTTGAGATTCTCTCTCTCTCCCTCTCCCTGTGTCCTACCCCCTCCCCACTCTCTGTCTCTCAAATAAATAAATAAATCTTTAAAAAATGAAAAGTATGAAAATTAGTCCTCAGCTTTTACTTTAAAAACCCTGTTATTGAAAATAAAAGTATGTGAAATGAAAACTCAACAATTGCCATGGTTATAAGGGAGTAAAGTCTGGAATGACTTTATAAAAGATGAACTGTGAGTCAGAAAAGTATCTTTTCTCACATAAATAAGGAGATCTGCAGGAGACAACTAGATTTGGTATATGCTTGCAAATAAGCATGGGCTAGTGGAGAAGTAGCCAATGTGATTGGGGTACAGTGATCTATATTAAATCCATTGTATTATATAGGGAAGCAACAGCTATATATGTTATAATTTTTGCTCTTTTACCATAAGAAAAGGCTTCCCACACTGTATTTTTCGTTCTGTAAGAAAGAGCCTAAGGTAAGGGGAAAAAAATGGCAAAATATGTGATTTCGGATTAATCATGAAAGAGGTTAGAATGCCTTTCTTTACCACCAGAACACTAAATAATTTCCAGGGTTAAAAACTGGAGGGTGTGGGGTGGCCGGATGGACAATCCAATCTAGAAAAGGAAAAATGTAAATCCCTGACAACAGGTCCAACAGAATGGTATAGGGCAGGGATTGACAAACATTTTCTATAAAAAGCCAGATGTTAAATATTTTAAGTTTTGTGGGCCACACGGTCTCTGTCCCAACTACTTAGTTGTGTGATTGTCGAGTGAAAGCAGCCAGGTGATATGTAATGGATGAGCATGGCTGTGTTGCAATAAAACGTTATTTTTGAATACTGAAATTTAAATTGTATATGATTTTACCATGGCACAAAATATTAATCATCTTCTGGGTCTTTCCAACTATTTAAAAATATTAAAACAGGCAGTGGGCCCAATTTAACCCATGGGCCATAGTTTGCTGACACCTGATGTAGAGTACTCAACATGGGAAGTTTTTAGGTAATTAATGAAAGATCGAAGGAGAAATTAGCAATGAAAGAAAATGCAGTTTCATTACTTTGCAGGAGGGTTATTTTACAAAGAATAGTTTGAACTAATAAGAAAGGGAGTATATAAAGCAAATGTAACTGAACAACATTTGCAGGTATTTTCTTATATGTTCTGTTTCCCCATCCCATCCCCCCCACCCTGTCCTGGCTAGTTGCAGCTGTGTGTTGCCTCCACAAAGGATTGTCACAGCCGCTAATACCAGGAACAAAGGATACAACTTTCAGACATAAGAGAAAAGAGGAAAATCAGTCAGAATAGTTCTCACCGCTCATAATTTGCCCGTGTGGAAAGAGGAAGAACTGATGGGAAAATCAAAGAATTTTATGCTTTTCCCTGCATCTCTGAAAGGGAAGAGGACGAAGGTGCAATCTGTGGGGATCGATGGATCGAGAGCCTAGAAGGTGCCATGGCTGCAGCAGGGATAGGTGGTTTACAGTAACACTCTGCAGACTCACCCGCCACAAGCCCAGGAAGTCACATGGCGCCCTGGGAGGAGAGAGACTCTAACCATCTGACATAATGGATCAAGAGTGAGATTAGGTCTCTCCAAGCCCTATCAAATGTAGTCTTGAAATCCAATCAGAAAAACAAGAGTTACATTCATCTTCCACAGGTAAGTTTGTGGTATAAGACACACGCCCACTTTACTTACATAGTTCAAACGTCAGCTACCTGAGTGTTCCCAAGTCCTCAAAGCTGTTGGCGTAACCATATCTCTGTCACATATAGAGCAGGAAACTTAATTTCATATGCCCACATCTTCTAGCATGCCTCAAGCTGATGTTTTCCTGTTATTTCCTGCTTCTGTTGAATTCTTGATTTCTCTCAAGTCTAGCTTCTTTTGGCTGTCCTTTTTGCTCCATCCCACATCATTCCCAAGGCGGAACACAACCTCTTTCCCTTTATTTTCTTCAAAATACCATGGAGGTCCATTTCTGTATCAGTTAGGGAGGACGTTAGGTTTGAGGTTGGTGTTGAGGAGAATAACTACCATGACTTCCAGTGCTTTGATGAAACCTCAGATGCGAGGCCTTCTGGCCAAGCGTCTGCGATTTCATATTGTTGGAGCGTTCGCTGTATCCCTGGGGGTTGCAGCTTTCTATAAGTTTGCTGTGGCCGAACCAAGAAAGAAGGCATATGCAGATTTCTACAGAAATTATGATTCCATGAAAGATTTTGAGGAGATGAAGAAGGCTGGTATCTTTCAGAGTGCAAAGTGATTTGGGAATGTAAAGAATTTCTTTGGGTGGAGTTCCATTGAAGTCTGTCACTGACCTGTGTTCTGAACTATGAAACACGAATACTGGCTTATGGAATAGTTTGTCTTGATAAATAAACAACTAACAAATAAAAAAAAAAATACCATGGAAACAAGGCACCCCTGTGTGGTTTACTGCTTTCCACTGAAAATTCGCAGTTAACAGTCTAAGATGGGGGAGAAGGAAGAAGAATTTATACTGCAGCAATTCGGACACCCCTGTTCTTTAAAGATCTTTGGACACAATGTGACACTTGTCTCTGGCTGCCTCTTACCCAACTCCCTGTCATTTGGATGCATGCTTTCTTCACATCCTACTTACTCTCATCTCGTTCACTCCTCCCCTTTTACCCTTTGCCTTCTGGGTTACCCACGGAAACTCTAAATTCTTCACTAATTCTTCATTAACAGAACAATTTTGTTCTCTTGATCTTGCCTCTAGCTTCTCCTGGCTAGACCCACTATTAAAATAATGCTCTTCCTCTGCTATGCTGATTAATATGACCCACTTCCTCAGCCTGGAGCTCTAAGAGAGTTACGTCTTCTTTGAATGCTAAAATCAATTGCGTAAGACTCTTCTCTCACCTGATGAGCAGAAATCAGAGGTAGAAACACCTCCATTCCCCTGACATCTCCACCCCCAATCATCAAGAATGGGTGGGGGGAGGGGTGCCTGGGTGACTCAGTCCGGTAGGCATCTGCCTTCGGCTCAGGTCATGATATCAGGGTCCTGGGATCAAGGCCCATGTCGGGCTCCCTGCTCAGCAGGGAGTTTGCTTCTCCCTTTCCTTCTGCCCCTCCTGCCTGCCACTCATGCGCTGCCCCCCCCCCTCCAATAAATAAATAATAAATAAAAAGAATGGAGGGGGGATGGCTTAGTTCTTAGGAGCCAGTCTTTAGTCCAATCCCATAGTGGAGAGAGGTACAGAGACCCTATTCAATTTTACAGATAGGTCCTGTTTGTTGTTGTTCTTGTTACACTGCCCTCGTCTTGTCATTTTTTAAAACATTCCCACATGATCTGGGGCCATCATTGTCCTCTGCAGCAGTGATTCTGTGTCTGGTCCCTCAGAAGCTTCTCATGGACTCTGTGTGTGTGTGTGTGTGTGTGTGTGTGTGTGTGTGTGTGTGTGTGTGTGTTGGGTGGAGGAGTTGTAGGGCACTGAGAAGATGTGGAGACGAGGATTCTCCTTACAATGTTATGGTCCAGGTTTAGGTTATCCTCAGCCACCGCTGGCTTGGGCTTCCACTCCTCTCTGTGTCTGATTAGCCAAATCCCTGCACAGGCTGTAATGCTGTTTGTTGTAAGGCTGGGCAAACCCGCTGCCTCTTGTAAGCTAGTGAAACACTGTAGCAAATGGATAAGAGCATGTTTCCAGGGCCTGACTACTTCAGGTCAAATCCTGTTGTATGTGACCTTGAGCAAAAGTGGTAACCCTCTTTATAGCCCACTTACCTCATTGACAAAATGGAAATAAAAATAATACATATCTCAAAGGGCTGTTACGAGGATTAAATGAATTAATACATGGCTCAGATAGTACCTGGCTCGCAGTAAGTGATTTCTAAATGTTTATACTCATTAAGTTTGCAAAGAAGGCTTTGTGCTAGTATTGACTTGGGCCTCCTCGTTTTCAGAATTCCATCCTGCACTCCCATTTTAGCAGAGATTTCAAAACATTCACACCGTACTCGACTGGCTTTAAACACAGGGACTACATGCCTGCCCCTGGAAACCCACACTGAGGCTGGATCACCACAGGAAAGAAATTGGATTTTATCTTGTCGACGATGGAGCACCACCAAACCTTTTTAAGTAGAAGAATGTTGTGGTCACATTTGTTTTTATGAAGATAACCTTTTTTTTTTTTTTTTTTTTTTTTACCTGTGTAGGAGATGGTCTGCATGGAAAGAAACTGGAAGCAGATTGATCTGCTAGAAGTTACCAGTGGATTACACTAAGGTGATGAGGACATGAATTAAGGTGTCAGTGGCGATGGGGCTGATGAAGAGAGTTTGGCATTTAGAAGGTAAAATCAACAGGATTTATTGAAGAAGGAAGTGAAGGATGAAAGAGAGGAATGATGTCTGATAATGCCAAGCTTTGAAACTGGGTAAATGAATAAGTAGTGGTTTTACAAACTCCTTATATTCTCTCCAAGGGAAGAGGGGAAGGGAAGAGGAAGACACCGTAATGACTTCAGTGGGAAGCTAGTGGGCTATTGGATGAACACTTTCTGGAGTTACAGAGACTTGGAGTTGGAGTTAAATATTTGGGAATTGGTAAACACTGACATTAAATGGACTAGCAGAGGAAGAACAGTCCACAAAAGAAAGATGAAAAACTTGGGAGGAAACCCAGAGAACTAAGAGAGGGGTTTTATGAAAGCATAAGTTTTGAGGAAGAAGGAGCCGTCTGAGAATCAGTGAGAAACTACTATGAGGAAACATGCAGCCTTGTTATGAGCAGTTGCAGTCAAAGGAAGGGGTCAGGAGTCACTGGCTTTGGCTGAGAAGTTAATGGGAAGTGAGACCCTAGAGTCCGTGAGTGTAGATCGCCCTCTTTACAAAGCTTGGTGGAAGGGGAAAGAAAGAAATTGGAGGGTAGATAGAGGCAGGAATAAGGGAAGTTTTCATTTTCTAGGCCTTAAAAGCATTAAGCTTGTTTACCGGTGAAAGGGGCAAGACTCTGGAAGGAAAGGGTGATGTTAAAAGTCAGAAAGGGGAAGGTAATTAAAGAAATGCCATTCTCGAAAAGAAAGGAGGAGCTGGGATTCAGAGCCCAGGTGGAAGGAACATACTAAAATATGACGAGTTGATACCTAAGAAGCAACTCTCCAGCAATGGGGGGCTTGGCATTAGTAGATATATACCCCAGGGCTCTGGTCACGGGAGGGGGAAATTCTGACGTGGGTTTCTCAGAAGCTCAGTTGTCTAAGGCTATAGCCCACTCATGAGGCACCCTTTATTGGCCTTTCTTCCTGTTCCAACTCACTTCACTACTCCCTCACTTATGCTTCCTGGAATCACCACTCAAACTACTTGCATCCAAATCTTTGTGTCATCCTCTGTTTCTGAGGAACCCCAATTTCAATAGACTGTGAGTTAGAACATTATCTCAGGCTTTCTGATTCCAGGTCTTGGGCTTTTTCAGTCAAATCCTAATTTGTCATTGCCCAAATTCAAGTTGTAGCGTTTTGCTTCTCTGTCTTTGTCCATACCAGTCGTGCTGTATCATCGGATGAGTAGTCTAGCCTAAGGACCTCCTCAGGAGAGATCTGTAGAAACTGAAGGAACTAACTGTCAACGTGTGTCACTCTCCTTCACTTCCATTGTTTCTGAATCTGACCCTTCATTTGGGGGGTTAGGTAGATACACTACATCTAGGTCTACTCCATCTATGTCTAAAGTGACATCTCCTTTTTCGTCTACATATACGTCTATATCAAAATCTATATATGTATCCACATTTAATGAAAATAGATATCAGCCAGGGCAGGACAGGGAGTTGAGATATGAGTAGGAACAAGGAGGTAGTAATGTATCAGAGTTCTTTATTGGTTTCTGGCTGGCTAATTTAGGCAAAAGTGAATTTGTTGGAATTTACTGGAGAATGTGGGACTCACAGAATCAAAAGACATCTGGGACATTGGGCTCCAGAGTGAACAGGAATTAAGGGAGCTGTGGAAAGCCAAGTAACAGAAAGCAAGGAACAGAGCTATCATGTCATATCCTGAAGTGTCTGGCCAATACGCTGCCGGCTCTGCTCTTGCTGGGATGAATGGCCTTCCTTCGGTCTCTCCTTAAAGATGTAAATTCTCTGGAGAAAGCACTGACCTTCCTTTTCCCACTGCCCACCAGTGTCCCTGATGGGATGAAAAAAGATCTAGCCATTTTGGCTCCTGCGATGGAAGTGCTGAATTATTTTCCCCAAAAGTCATGGAAAAGGCTCAGCTAGAAATAGAGCTGCTATTGGAAAGGAGGAATAGAAGCCAGGAGACAAAAGAACAATAAATGTCAACTGCAAATCTCATCAGGTAACCAGACAAGGCTATTGGCTGGGGCTGCTTACTGACTGCAGATGATATAGGACTGGTCATTGATAAGTGAATAACCATAAGAACCTTATAATCTAGAATGCACAAGAATCCTTGGCTGTAATATGTATGATATAATATTTAAAGGACAAACTGAGAAATATGGGGGAAAAATGAAATAGGCTTTAGTAGTGGAATAAAATGATGCTAAATAAAATTGCCTTAGAACAGGAAAATAATTATTGACATTTTGCTGTGTTTGGACCTACAGGTCAAAGTTGACTACCACAGACCCAGACCTTCTGCAAAAAGCTTTCTGCAAGGCTGAATGAGCACCATGGGCAAACAGAAGCAGAAAGTACAACTTGTATCTGGGAAATGGCATATATCCAGTCTGGTGGGGGTGCAGGGGACATGAGATTGTTCAGATATTTTCTTGTGGACTCTAATTCTTTTAAAAGCTGAACAAATCTTTTTAAGACAATTACCTGCTTTGCAAAACAGTTTTTAATTCTCACTTAGCCTGTATGATCAGATACTCAAAATTTGACTCTGGATCTCACCGATCAAAGTTCATAGCTCATATTTTGGCCTCTTGTTCTCTTTTATTTTTTAGTAGTCACTAAAAGGAATTAAAGAGCAGCTGACATATTCGTACACCAACGTTCACAGGCATTATTAACAATAGCTAAGAGGTGGAAACAACTCAAATGTCCATAGATGGATGAATAGACCAAATGCAGTCTCTACATATAATGGGATATTATTCATCCTTAAAAGGAAGGAAATTCTGACATGTGCAACAACATCAATGAACCTGGAAGAAATTGTGCAAAGTAAAATTAAGCACAAGAGGACATATAACTGAATAATTCTTCTTGTGTGTGGTAGCTAGTGTAGTCAAATTCATAAAGACAGAGAGTCAAATGTGGTTGCCAGCATTCGTGGGCAAGGAGAAGGGGAGTTAATATTTAAGGCGGACAGACTTTCAGTTTGGGAAGATGAAAAAATTCTAGAAATGGATGGTGGTGATGGTGGCACAGCAATTTAAATGTACTAATGCTACTGACCTATGCACTTAAAAATGGTTAAAATGGAAAAAAAATGGTTAGAATGGTAAATTTTATGCTGTGTATATTTTATCACAACTTTTTAAAAAGGCAACCAAGTCTTTCTCACTGTGTCACCAAAAAGGTTCAGCAATAGGCACTCTTTAGGGTATCTGGACTCTGCTTTCCTCCCCAAAGCCAATGGGGAAATGGTGAAATACCACCTCCAGATCTGCCCTTCATGGGAGAATTTGTTGCCCTGTTACTTGGTGTGTGTGGTCAGCAGTCAGGCCCTTTCAGGATCCTCTCAGCTGGGGTCAGCCACCTCCTGCCAAGGTCTCTCCCTTTCCTTGGGCAGCGCACACATAATGGTCTTGGGGTAAGGCCAGCCTTTTGGCCCAAAGCAGGATACCTCTGATGGACCATTTTAGTTCTGAGGGACCATTTTAACTCCTCATAGGTTCTCCCTATCTCCAGTCCTTTCTCCTTCCTCTCCCTCCCACTGGGAGTGATCACAGACCACTTCCTCATAAACATCCTGTGCACAAAACTCTATCTCAGAGTCAGCTTCCTGGAGAACATAACCTGAATGGACAGACTTAAGTTCCTTTAAAAACAGAAAGAAAAAGATGTACAAAGAAACAAGGATGACAGCAGATTTCTTGTTGGAAACAACATAAGCGAGAGGACAGTGGAGTAACCAAATGCTACCCCGCAACAAAACCCCTTTCAGAATCTCAGGCACAAATATTTTCAGATAGACAAAAACTAAAAAAGTCAATCACCAGCATGTCCACACTACAGAAAAAGTTAGTTTGAGAAAATTCATGAAACTGTGTGCTAATGATTTGCCCACTTTTCCATATTTTTTGCTTTGAGGCATAGTTTATTAAAAAAAAAAAAAAGAGGCAGGAAGAGTAATTTACATTTTTTTTAAGATTTTATTTATTTGACAGAGAGAAAGACAGCCAGAGAGAGGGAACACAAGCAGGGGGAGTGGGAGAGGGAGAAGCAGGCCTCCCACAGAGCAGGGAGCCTGATGCGGGGCTCAATCCCAGGACCCCGGGATCATGACCTGAGCCAAAGGCAGACGCTTAACGACTGAGCCACCCAGGCGCCCCTACATTTATTGTGTTATGAGTAAGGGTAGCTTTCTTCTCTACACAATCTGACCCCTCAAGTCCTGGCTGCCTTAGTTACTCCTTGATGCTTTCATTCAGATGGCAGTTCAGTAACCCTCTAATCAATCCAATTATTTTTTTAAATGTTATCTAACTTTTCAAGATTTTCTTGGTAGCAATGTTGTACTGCTACAAGTTCTTTCATGATAGATTAAAGCAGAGGTTTCTGTTACCTTTCTTTATTGGAATGTGAAATTCTTGTTCTGCTAAAAGTGTGAATGAATTTGGCAATGTTAGAAAATGATTTTAGGAGCAGGGTATTGTTTCCATCTATACTCACTGCTTCTCTAGCTCACAAATAATTATAGATTATTAAAAATCACTTTCCTCCTTCCCATCTAAATTAGCAATATCTTTATAAAACTATTAATTATCTGTGTGTATCTATCACTGCCTCACTCTCTGTCAATAAAATCACAGTCCTGATCTTGTTTCAAGACAGAGGGAAACTAAAATTTATTGCATGCCTTCTGTGTATTAGGCCCTATAGTAAGCACTGCATGTAAGTTACTAAGTTTGATCAGATTATCAAGTTTGAATATTTATAGTATATGCCACTACAGATGCGGAATTTTATTGTTCCATGAATAATAAATGTTCCTGAGCTGCTATTGTATGGTATGTATATGCTGGGTGCTGTGGGTATAGAAATAAGAAAACAAGTCCCTGATCTCTCTCAGCACGGAGAGAAACTCCAGTATGCAATATAGTGATGCACAATGTAAGTAAGACAAGTAAAGATGTAGGAGAACATGTAGTCTAGGTGGACAGGGCTGGGCACGGACAGGTCCCCAGGGGAGGCCTATGTCATTCCGAGAAGGCACATAGAAATTATTGGAATAGGCAAATAGAGTACTGGAATATAAAAGTTCTAGAATTTCCCCTCAATATCTCTAAGAGGGAAGCAGGAAAAAAGCACTTCAATCTTAGAAGATCACTTTAGTGTATATACTCTTGTGTCATGCACCTGTGAATCAGATCCCTATCCTTTGTTGTTGTTGTTGTTTTTTTAAGATTTTATTTATTTATTTGACACACAGAGAGAGACAGCAAGAGAGGGAACACAAGCAGGGGGAGCGGGAGAGGGAGAAGCAGGCTCCTGGCTGAGCAGGGAGCCCGATGCGGGACTCGATCCAGGGACTCCAGGATCATGACCTGAGCTGAAGACAGACGCTTAACAACTGAGCCACCCAGGCGCCCCCTTATCCTTTGTTTTTGATGTAGTCCTAGTGATTGGTAAAGTAATCCAAGTATAAAATGTAAACTTTTTAAATGTAAAGTTTTAAAAGTTTAATATGCCAGTTTCCGGTCTCAAATGTACATGCAGAAAACATAAGTTCATCATAATGACCCATGTGTGGGCTAACCAAAAAACGAAATCAGAATGTGTGTGTAATTGGGCACAATGAGCTTTTCTTTTTCCTCAGCAGATGTACAGTTATTTTGAAGTGAAAGCAAGGAACTCTATCTCAGGGCATTATATTTAGGTGGTCTTATTTTTTCTAAGAAAAAATAATAAAAGGTGAATAAAAAATAAGAATAAATTTTAAATTCAAATATGCAAATGCATTTTTGTCAAATGTATATTTTAAAATTCTCTGCCAGTGTCCAGAAATTTTGTCGGAATAGTTAACAACCCTGGGAACTCCACTTTTAGATGTGGTCATAAAAGTATGAATCGTCATGTGTTTTCCAATTAGTTGGAGAATGTTTTAAGAGGAGATAATATTTAAAGAATCTAAAACCTGGGGGATTAAAAAAAGCACACATCAAGATTGGACTTATGCGGGGTGCCTGGGTGGCTCAGTTGGTTAAGCGACTGCCTTCAGCTCAGGTCATGATCCTGGAGTCCCTGAATCGAGTCCCGCATCGGGCTCCCTGCTTAGCGGGGAGCCTGCTTCTCCCTCTAACCCTCCCTCTTCTCATGTACTCTCTCTCTCTCTCATTCTCGCTCTCTCAAATAAATAAATGAATCTTTAAAAAAAAAAAAGATTGGATTTATGTGGATGAGTGAAAGAGATTTACAGCAAATTTATCAAAGAAAGCAGAGAAGTCATACTGTGAAGCAGAATGAAAAAAGACATCTTGTGTTACTGCCCATCTCTCCTATGTGTAAAGGCATATTTTAAAATGTGACTTTACTTAACGTGGACTTCTGTTTTCTTTTTTTCTCCTACATATTTTTCACAGTATAGTTGAATTTCTTCTTCATGTGTTAAGTGTAAAAAATCTGTTTTCTGTTAGAATTTTAACATTTATTTGGTTGCAATCCTTTAATGACATGTGATCTTACAGGGAGATTCTTCTTTAATAAGAAAGATGTTATTTTTTTCCAAGGCATATAATATATGCAATTCTGAAGTTCTTGCATACACATTGAAAGAAAAACAAACATTCCTTAGCCAGAGCTCTTTTTATTCTTCACAGGGGAAAAAAAATGAATAAGAAAACGTCTTTTGCACTTTTCTGTATTAGGGAACCGATTTAAACTTGGTTAGAGAGGGGAGGGGGGTGGGGGGATGGGTTAGCCCAGTGATGGGTATTAAGGAGGGCATGTACTGCACAGAGCACTGGGTGTTATATGAAAACAATGAATCGTGGATCACTACATCAAAAACTAATGATGTATTGTACGGTGACTAACATAATATAAGAAAATAAAATTTAAAAATCATCCTTAAAAAATAAATAAATATTTAAAAAAATAATGCTAAACTTGGTTAGATACCAGAGAGGGAAAAATCAGATAGACAAGAAACCTCTGAAAAGAAGGGTAGTGAATAAGCATTTCATTTTATCTTAACTAGCATGCAAGGAAGGATACTGTGCAATCTGAAGCTACACATTTTTGGGAATCTGTCAAATGTCTACCAATATTACTTTTTATATGCTTCATGTAGCAGGCCTAGGGAGCGAGCAGTCCAGATCTGAGCAAAAGAACACAGGATTCTGGGACAGAGTTCTCCAGGAAACAACTGCATTTGGAAAATTCCTTCTCAGGAATTTGGTTTTCCTATCTGGGATCCTGTAACAGCTGGAGTTCAATCAGAAAAGCAGAGCCTCTAGAATATATCAGGGATGACCTTATGCAATTCCGGGGGCTGGTGAAGCAGTCTCTAGATGCTGGAGCTTCAAGTATGCAGGGTAGGTAAGGGAGAAGGACAGATGGCCGCTGTAAGGGCAGCAGAAGCTGAAGCCAAG